TTTTTTTTTCCCCCTTCTTAAATATGTTATCACAGAGGCACTCCCACCGTCACCGATTGGCTCGGCCTTGGCCAGTGGCGGGTCCGTGTTGGAGCCGGCTGGCATTGACTCTGTCGGCCATAGGGGAAGCTTCTAGCAGCTTCTCACAGAAGCCCCCCCATAGCCTCTCCAGTACCAAAACCTTGCCACGCAAACACAATACATACTGGAAGGTGCAATTCCACTGTTTCTCTGAAGCCCTTTTGTATCCTATGTTAAGCACTTTTGGTTGAAACTTACCAGAACAGATCACATTGACACAACTAACATATATTTAAAACACATGTCATAACCTCTTTGACTTTTGTGATATGTTGTTGAAAAGTATGAACTTTTGTGATACGTTGCATACTTCAGCTGCTCTTTTTAGCTGTTTGGGACATAAAGTGACAAACACTGTATCTCACTGGAATCATAGCGGGAATTTAGCTATACAGAAAATGTAAGTGTTCAAGCTAGGATTTGGCAAGCAAATGGTGTGAACACCCCCTTCCTCTTCACAGAAGTACCACAAGAAGCTCTAGTGACTACAGCTGGACAGGACTGCCCCAGCCCAACCCTAGTGAGCTTGTTACGTGACTGCAGAAGGGTTTGGCCAGTCCAGTGTGTATGTCAGAGGCTTACAACATTCAACTGCTACAATAAATGGTGTTTGGTGATGTAGTAGGTGGTAGTTTCCCCTATGAGTCAGTATTGATTTGTTGCTCCCTTAGCGTGTTGAGCGGTTGGAAATTATCATCTTTTGGACCTAAGGATGAAACCTTGGTTGCTTGTGCCAGTGGAAGCCCTTACAGCATTCCTCCATTAGCGGAGGGTTGTCTAGCCAAGTTTTAAGCTAGATACTTATATTATCTCTATAAATCCTCCCCACTTTCCTTGCATTATCCAAAGCGCTTTGTAAAGTGTAATAAGAGCCTTAAGAGCTTGTTGAGTTTGGCATTGAGTTGTTTTATTAGTTGGACCTTCTTACACTGTTAAACGTAATTTTTCCTGTAGTCATGTTCTAGAGAATAAGATGCATTTAGAATCCTGACTTGGGTGCCTAGACAAATTATATGAGTTTGTGACTTTAATATGTGAAGTTATTAATTCAAGAAGTTACTTTTGAGCAGTTGTCTTGCAGTGAGAACTTTCCCCATTTTCAGTCTGGATTTGAACTTGAATTACCAGCAGTTTTCTCAGTAGTTTTGGAAAACTGCCTTTATTTTTTAAATTCAGCACTGGCTATAGTTGCATTTTTTTATTTTATATGCAATTTACTTGAAATATTTTTACTGGTCCCTTCTTTCGATTTATTCTCTCATCCAGGCAGTTTGCTTTGGCACTTGATTTTTACTTTTCCTGTGCATTCCTGTATGAAATCAGAGGAACTCTTTAGTTTATTGTCATTTAAAGAAAACAATTTTTGGGTGTAAAAAGAAAACCTTACTTTCACCAATGATGGTTAGACTGTACGGTATTTTCTTTACAGGAAAATATGGTGATAAAGAATAGTTGAATTAAATAATTTTCTGAAAAGCACAGATATTTGATGCTCCATCTGGTTAATATACTTATTTTGATGTTAAATATGTAACCCGCCATGCTGATTAGTACTTCTCATCTGTGCCTAATCTAGGAGAAATGTAAACTTTCAAAAGAAGACAGAAAGGTTTTGTAGCTAGGGCTGCTGCGTGGAGCTGGAATTCCTGGCTGCTAACACACGCTCTGAAAAAAAAGGTCATTATTCTCTAGGCCACTTAAATTTAATTGACTGAGTGGAAAAAAAATTAAATAAAATTTAACTTTAATCTTTTATTTCCGATGTTAGAGAAGTACTCATTATTCAAGAATTATTATAAGTTTATTATTATTATAAGCTTAGTTTTGCGTTATCACTGGGAAACTGGATTATTCTTTCTGTGCAGACTCTGAAGAACGTGTATCTGTTCTGACTGAGGACATGAGTCACAGTTACTTTAACATCAAAACAAAATATGGCTACGTAGTGCTCTTCAATTAGGTAATTGGTTTAGCATGTCCTCTGGTAGAAGCATTTCAGCAGAGGCAGGCAAGTTTGATTAATGCTCACAAAAATCTTTAATGTGATCCTACTCGTAGTAATTTTCCAGATACATGCTTCTTGGGTACATTGCTAAATTCTTCTGTGTTAGCAATCTGTGTGTTATTTATGGTTGGAGAGGTGATTTTGTTACAAACCATTTGGGAAACAGAAAATTAAATCATGATTTTAAGAAATAGATTCCGGCTCAATCAGTCAAATTGCTGTGTAATGGCAGAATAGACAAAATAATTGTTCGTCAGGGCAAATTTGAAGTGATTACATTTCCAAGTATACTTCTGTTTGTTATGACGCAGAGTTTGGTTTTATTTGTTCAGCTTAAAGTACATGTCAGTATCATGAAGGTAACCACTCTTGAAATTAGCAAGTAACATTTTTTAAAGTAATGTCTTATGTCAGTTTTGCTTTCAGCGTCCCCGAAGAGAAGTAAAATTATTCTTATTTTGAAGCTTTCTTCTGCGTGCTTTCTGTGTGTCTTGCCAAACGTGCTTTTTGACCACAATATATTCAGGCTTCTGTGCTTTTTATTGAAATCTCTGAATGCTTTGAATTGAAACAATTTTTCAGTCAAGGATTTTGAGTTCTGTTTTCTTCATTTGCTTGTTTTTATGAAAGGATTTGGACTCCCCAAGTATCTGCTTGGAACTATTCTTGTTTAGTGTGAACAAAAAGAGGATATTGTATTAAGTCAGATCCAAGCAAAAGTTACTTCTCTCACCTGGGAGTGTTAAGAAATCTTTGATTTTCCTCTGAAGTTGATTATTGCAGATCACTATGGAAACTGCACGACCTGAAGAATGGGTTTATACATACTACTAGAGTCAAAACATGGCACATGAGTTCATCGTCTGGAAATAGGAAATGTGAAAATACTGTGTTTTCAGTATGTCTCGTAACTATAAAGTGTTGTCACAATAGCAACATTTCATTCTCCTAACTATTTAATTTGAAATAGCATTTCATTTACTGTGCCAAAACTATTTTTTTTAAGAACTCGCTACTGATTGGGAATCCCAATGTTAGATTGTAGCTTGGGGGTCAAAAGCAGGTTAACAGGTCCTGCAGCTTGTTGCTGGTGTGGTATTACCTGGGTTTGATGACTTAATCTTTCTTAACAGGTCACGAAGAGTTTCCTAAATTAAGTTAATTACAAGAGAGAAGGGACACATTATAAATCAAGGACTAACTATGCAAGACACCAGTGGTATTTGAAATAAAAAACATTAAATTGAAAATTTATTGAGTGTTTAGATGTTAACATTTAGGTAAAGAATAGGCTATTTTACTAGCAGCAAGTTATAGTTACTGCTTCTGTAATTTCTTTTACCACCCCTCCCAGCCCCAAATGCAAAACTTTTTAATGCAGGTGTATTAAAAATGGTTGAGAGTTTCATTTGACTGAAGACCAACCTAGTCAATAAATCCACTGTGTTAGATATGGCTGATGAGTGATGGGAATCATCAGTACAGTTAGAAAAACCCTTTTGAGGTCAGCGTGGGGTGATGAACATCTCCTACCCTTCTACCCCTTCCTTTCCTAAACTTGGCGGCATGTGTCTTAGGGAATCTAAAGCCATAAGTAGTATTTATTAAGCTGTATCTTCCATTGTTATCAAGACAAACTTTATTTCAAATGCTCTCTAAAATTGCCGTTGTAATAGTAGGTTACAATCCAATACAAGGTCATTACTCACAGTTACTTTGAACCATAAAATATAATTATATGATGACTGGATTATTTTATAGTAGGTTTTGATAAGTAGAACTTTCTCTGTCTCGCTATAACAAAAATAGAAAATAGATTAGCTTCAGTAACAGGTCCAAGTCTTGCTGCTATTTAAATTAGGAATATAATCTAATTTGGATCACATAAAGAAATTCAAGTCTGAAATAAAAATTATGTTAAAGTTTACAGAGCAAACAAAACAACAGGAAGATCTCTATTCAGATAAATAATAAATATTCCACTTTGAAATTTAACAGCGCTGAATATTCAAATTTGGAGCAAATGAGTGACATTAAGGAGTTCTGTCGTATTTTTCATTACTTATTAGAGGAAGGGTGATATAGCTTGTATTCTAGGAAAAATGCTGAGTTTTAGTGAAACAGTAAAGTAGGCTGTGCTTTTAGGTTTGTAGTAATTAGAGTAAATTTTTTGGTACTTAATGTTTAGAACTTATTTGTACAGGATTTATGCACAGAATTTCTGATATATGACAAATAACAGTCCTTTTTTGTTGTTGGTTAGTTTGCAGGTCGCAGTAAGAAAGAAACTAAATACTCTTTGAAGGCAGTGGAAGACATGTTGGAGACCCTGCAAATCACTCAATCTTAGGTTGGCATAGAGATCTAATATTAAATTTTCCAATTCCATGATCAACCTGTAATGATCTATGGGTTATGTTACTCTAATGCTGTTAAAAGTTGATTTTGTATTGATTAACGTGCTATCTAAAATAATGTTTTATGAAAAGTAAAATGCCTATTTATTGCTGCTATGAGAAATGTGATGAATACCCACTGAAATGAGTAACTTATCCACAAAGACAACATAAAGAAATGACATGTGCTGCACATCAGTCTTAGATTTTTGTATCTACAGTACCTGCTTTTAAGCCATAATTTGTAGAAATAAACTTGTTAAATGATTTAAAAAAATGACAGTGATTTATTCAACTTGCAAGTGAAAATTACGAATTTATATATGTAAACAAATAACATATGTTAGAAATTTTTGTCTTATTTGCATATTTAAGAGTAAAAGCATGCTACAGATGTACACTTTCTGGTAAATATTTACCACACAGGGAGGACTGATTATGAATACACTTTATTAGAGAAAAAAGTTGATGTTAATGGTTTTATTAATGGGTTGATATCCAGTACTGTAGAAATGGAGACAACTTACCCGTGTACTTTGCTTCAGAGGGGCTCTTGTACTGGCTTAAGGCCAAAGACATTCTTCTCTGTGGCTTTGTGGGCAAATGCTTCCATGTCTACGTAGTTCTCCAATCAGTATATGCATATGCACTGTTTTTTATTCCTTCTGTGTGTCCTTTGTTGTACATATGTTCCACACCATGAATTTCAAAACCATCTGAATGCAGGGCTGCATGCTGGTCTCTACTAATTTTGTACCTATGGTATGGGTACCACTGTGGTGTAAGCTGTGGTATATTAGCTTTTCCACCGTAACCAAGTGTTACTGCACTGTAAGGATGAGATAGCTTGTTTGACTGCCTTGTACTTAACCGGAGGATAAAAGTGTTTTTACACCATTAGCATGAAGCATCTAGTGCACTGTAAATTTAGATTGTATTTGTCTTTTAGGCACTTGTTTATTTACTCGGATAATTAGTTAAACACCCTAATGCATTAATTTTGCAGTTCTGATCATTCTGGATGTTGTTCAGATGTGTACTGTGGCAATTCAGTTGCACAGCTATCATTTCATTTATTACGGCTTCAGTAAGATGGCATAACGGTAGCAACATACCCTTGACAAATTATAATAAAAATATTGCGGTGTCATTTTCATGACTGTTACCACCATTCAAGCTGATTTGAGTTTCAGATTTTATACTGCCTACTCTATATAGATGGGTAGATTAAATGCTATGTATTAAAATGTCCTTTTTATGACCCTGGACTTGATGTAATAAAACAAAGCTGAGCTCCTGCTTAAAAACAAAGCAGCAACAAAAACTTCCTCTGTGAGTTCAAAGCTTGAAAATGTGTAGAACTGAACTGGTTGTTGCATGAGACTGTGCCTTTAAGAAACATGTAAGATCTCATTCCCGTTATCCATGAAGTAGGTTGGAGTATGATGGTGTGACAGGATGGGTGCTATGCCATGAGACTTAATTGTATGTGGAATCTTAAATTAACTTAATTCAGTACTGTTGAAATACAAAACTGCAAATACTGCATAGTATTATATTAAATCACCCATTTCTGACTTGGGGAAATAGTGCAGATCCTTTTACAATAGTAATTCACAAACTGGCCTCAGAACAGTATTTGCAGATAGATTATGTATGTTTCAGGTGGAAAACCAAGAAAATATCATAGGTGAACCTACGTATTTCTGTTCAGATTTATAGTCTTTTACTGTATGAGTGTGCCATCTAGAGTTTTAAAACCTCATTAGTCTTTTTTTTTTATTTTACCTACATCTCAAATAACTTGGTTGCATTCTAAAATAAAAAAGTGGTGGGAAGCTGTACTGTAGACTAAAATTACTTAGCGGTGCACAACATTTTACTTCCAAAGTATTAAAAAACAGCAGTGCAGTATTCTTGTGCAGCAGGCATCTGTGCTGCTGGAAAGTGTCGTATGTAATGTTTTATTCAGAGGCAACTTCTAACATAATACTGTCAAACTTGGGCATATAGTATATCAGTTTCTCTGTAAGGAAGTTTGTTCTGTTTATTGTTTTCAGTGATTTGATGACAAATTTCATTTCATTTGGCTGCCTGGAACCTTCTAGTTTTCACTACTGCTTAGCATCTTTTTGAAATTACTATTTAGCACTCTGATTTGTGCTTGTATTTTGGCATAATTCCCACATAGTAGAGCTTAAAATTATCCTAGCAAACAGTTTTGACAAATTTGTATTTACTTCAAAGATAAAATAAATTACTCTTATAAAGATGCATGGGCAGTCCTTCATAGAACTATTGAATTGCAGCAATGGAAATTCAGTGTTTTTTCCGTATTCAAATGAAAAAAAAATATTAAAATCCTGTGTCTGCAGGGGAAGTAACTGTGTGAAATGCCCTGCAATGTGAGCAAGCAAAGGGTACAGAAGAGAAGCTGTCATATAATGTGATCTTTAGAACTGTAAAATTACTTTTATAGTAAATGATTTCGTAATAGGTCACTGACACTATCTTGCGTTAAAGAATAGGTTTTCAAAGAATGGCTTATTTAGTTAACAAATGAACTTGACTATGTTTTGTATTGGTCTCTGACAGTGACAAATGCTACACAAAAATATTATTATCAAGCATGCAGTCTCCCCTTTCCAAAGTAAAAGGCTATGTTTTCATATTGTTTCAGTTGACAGCAAAAACTTGAGACCTTTGCAATGCCAAACCGTGTAGCGATGACTTGTGTCTGTCTTTTGTGCAGCAATACTTTGATAATAGGCTTGATAGAGAGAGCTTAGTGTTATCTGTTGAAGTAAAGGTCATTGAAGAGCCAGCGAAACCTCCGATTCTGCCTTTGTAATACAAGTTACTGTTGACTTCTTAAAAACCTTTTGTCCAAATGTTATACAATTCATATTCTGTAGCTGCAAAAAGCACATCTTGTTTAGAATATATCCCTAAATCTCTTCAGTTCAGTGCCCAGAATATCTTGCAGTTGCTATTGGAAACACTGTTATTAGTCAACGGAGGACTTCCTCTTGGCAGCGTTGTATTTGTGATGGCATCCATGTTTGCTAGTCACTGCATTTACAGTGGAACTTGTGTTTCAGCCAGCTTTAAAAGGGAGGGGAAAAGGAAAGCAAATTAAACTTGACTTGCTGGCATGAATTTGTTAGCTTCTTGTTACTTGCACCCTCATCTTCCAAGAACACCAACTGTAGCTGTAGTCAGGTTTGCAATAATAATAATTCTTCTTGTAACTCAAGAGCTTCCATATATTCAGCTCTAAAACCAACACTGCATTAAAATCTAAACCATACAGATTCCAGTGAAACAGCGCTATGCAATGTGCACGTACCCTGGTATGCAGGGAAAGGACAGTTCTCCCACCCTCGTGCAAGTTGATACTGGAGTGGAGGAGCGTTAGAACAGTTCTTTAATGTGGTTTTGTCTAGAAAATGAATACTGCTTAATGTGTCTCGAAATATTGCTTATTACTTGCCTTGCTCAGTGCATGAATAGAATTTTAGGACTAACTGTTGCTTAACTACAGATACTTGAGTCTACATGGAGAATAAAGTACTTGAAATTACTCATTGGTCTTATCTGGAATGACTCTGCACCCCTACAGATCTGTATCCTCTTCATCGGCACCAGCTGGAAGTTGGATTCAACCCAGAGACTAGTTTTCAGAAATAAATGGTCATTAATCTACCTGTCTCTTAAAAAAAACCCAACCAAACAAAAAAAAACCCACAACAAACACCAAAACAAAACAACAAATCAACAACAAAAAAAACCTACCCCAAACACCACCCCACAAAAAAACCCAACCAAAAAAAATAAAAACCAACCCCCCCAAAAACCACCTCTAGTTAGAGAAAGTTGTTTTTCAGCTGCTGGATGTGAAATGGAAAACCTTTGCAGCACACTTCGTAGGTAAATTTATTCTGTTCTGTGATGAGGAAATCCCCTGTATGAAGCAGTGCAATCCTTTTAATGCTTGTCTAGAAGGAAGAAAGGCTGGAGAGCAGCACAGAGGCCTGTTCAACCCATATACCATAGTAGGACTTCCTATGGCAAGTCGCAAAGAAAATGCCATTCATCTGCACTTAGGATCCCAGAGGCGAGCATTCACGGTGAGCAGGCACCATTGCAACTGAAAAGGGCTAAATCAGACTGGTGCTCAGGTATGTGTTCTGAGAGACCCAACACAGCGCATGAGTCTCCACCCAGCTGTTGGTAGGGCTGCACGTCAACATGAACCTGCCTGCAGGTGTTTGCCCCTACTAGGGACAGTCCTCTGTATTTTACTTTTCTCCCCGTGGC